ATAATAAGCTTCTCCTCCTCTGACCTTCACTCAACAAAACTGATTCAACATTGAGTGAAAACAACTACTTTTCCAGCTATCACTGTTGCTTCACTATGACACGGAGTGCTGCGGGTGGGCAGACGGATAAATAATATTTTAGAACCAGCAGTGCAGCATCTTCAGCCCATTAAACTGCTCAGTCCGAAACCAGAGAGACACTCCTGTTAGTTGCTTTCTCCATTCTGTGTGACTGCTTCATATCTATACGGCTGGATGGTTTTTATCTTTAGTTTCATTGTGAAATCTGTTTCAGTATCATAGGTGAGCATAATAAGAAGTCAGATATTTTGACATTTTTGACGTTTACCTTAGCAACTGAAATTATGGTTTTGGGCTCTGCTCCTTAGCTCCATTTAGCAGGTGGAAATTTTAATTTTTTAAATATTTGTGATATGTGAATAATTTAAATCACAAATTTAAATAAAATATTATATGAATGCAAAATATGCAAAATACACATTTTTGGGGCTTTTCCCTTCATTTCACCTTTAAGGCCATTTGTCTTGAAAACTGAAAAAGTACAACTAAACAGATGAAGCATAAATGGCAGGAAGCTGGAGCCAATGTACTGTATGTGACCGAACTGTAAGAAATGGCCTAAAGGAAATGGGATTTCAATACAGGAAAGCTAAAAGGAAACCATCATTGACACCTAAACAAAAAAGAACAAGACTGCAATGGGCCAAGGAGAGGTAGTCATGGACTGTGGATGACTGGATGAAAGTTATCTTCAGTGATGAGTCAAGAATCTGCATTGGACAAGGTGATGATGCTGGAACTTTTGTTTGGTGCGGTTCCAGTGAGTTTTATGAAGAGGACTGCCTGAAGAAAACAACCAMATTTCCACAGTCCTTGATGATATGGGGCTGCATGTCAGGCAAAGGCACTTGGGGAGATGACTGTGGTTAATTCTTCTATCAATGCACAAGTTTACATTGACATKTTGGACAGTTTTCTCATCCCTTCAGTTGAACAAATGTTTGGAGGTGATGAAATTATTTTCCAAGATGAAAATGCATCGTGCCATAGGGCAAAAACAGTGAAGGCATTCCTTGGAGAAAGACACATTCAGTCCATGTCATGGCCTGCAAATAGTCCAGATCTCAACCCAACTGAAAACCTGTGGTGGAAATTGAACAAAATGGTCCATAAGAAGGCTCTGACCTGCAAAGCTGATCTGGCAACTGTTATCAAAGAGAGTTGGCACCAAATTGATGAAGAATACTGTTTGTGACTCATCACGTCCATGCCTCAGAGACTGCAAGCCATTATAATTCAAAGGTGGTGCAACTAAATACTAGTGATGTATTTTGAATGGTCTTTTGTTTATCTGTTTTACATGATTCCATACATTTTTTCCTCAGAATTCAGTGATTCCATATTTTTTCCCTGTGCTTGGTCAATAAAAGTAACATTCACTGACTTCCACAATGTTTTCTCTTCATTTCTTTGAGTGCTCCTGAAAGCCAACCAGTTGCACTTTGTAATGACCTTATTATTGTATCATGTTTTTGATCTGAGTTTGTTTTACAGAATGAAATGTCTGAATGAGTGCTCATCCAAGACTGGTGGTTCCATACTTTTTGCCAGGGGTTGTAGCTCTTAAAAGAGTTTTTTTTTAATGTCGCTCCTTCTGGTTGAGTTTGGATGTGCTGTTAGGCTGTAGAAATGACCCTGCTGCTGAAAAACACTCCCACTTTATGATGCTGCCATGCTTCAGTGTTGAAATATTGTTGGTAGATCCTTTGATGTCATGGTTTGGTGTATTATTTTTAACTGGCGTAGGTAAACGAGAGCACATACTGTAACTCCAGTTTTGGCTTCTTTTCATGGGCTACCTGTTTGGTTTCGAATCCATTTAAAAGTTCGTTTGTTTCTAAGTCTCTTAATGGTCTTAGCCCTTCTTATTTGTCTGAACTACTTCACCCTTACATGCTATCACATACTCTTAGATCATCCGACCAGAACCTTCTAGTAGTCCCAAATACACGTTACAAATCCAGAGGAGACAGAGCCTTTGCAGCTCTGGCTCCTAAATTACGGAATGAGCTGCCGCTGAAGGTCAGGCAGGCCCCAAATCTTTCTGTTTTTAAAACTCATTTAAAAACACATTTCTTCTCTTTGGCTTTTGAGAGATTTTGCATCTGTGTCTTGATTTTGTACTATTTTTGGTATTTGTGATCTTTGTATTGTCGTTTTATTTTTGATGTTTTATTCTATATGTTTGTACAGCACTTTGGTCAGCTGTGATGTTGTTTTTTTAAGTGCTTTAGAAATAAAGTGGTATGGTATGGTATGATATTCTCTGATTGTCAGAAGTCTTTCTATAAAGCAGTGTGAGTGTTTATCAGTAAGGTACATTCAGATTAATTTACTACAGGTGGACTCCAGTCATGGTGGAGAGACATCTTAGCAAAGTTCAGGAGAATCTGAAGGCATCTGACCTAAATTTTAGGGTTTGTTTTTTTAATAGCTTTACAAAAAATGATTAAAAATTTGGCTTTACTTTTTCAGTATGGTATGCTGAAGTTAGATTAATGACAAAACCATAAATTAATGAATGTAACATCAGTATTAAAAAAAACTAAACATGAAGGTGGTCTGAGTGTCTGTTATTTGTAGAACTCCAGTTTCTGCTTCATGAACCTCCAAACTCWTTGAAACAGGAAGAGGAAGTTCTGACTTACATCTGAGGCAGAAGTCAGTGAAACTCTGAGCAGTCAGTCCTGAGCATCAGCCATGGAGGTCCCAGCTCTCTGCACCCACATGTGTAAATACACCTGATTATCTTGTTGGTTATTTGTTGGTTGAAGCAGCACATGGTGATGTCAGATGTTTGTTTTTTTACAGTGTTTGTCCTGCTGGCAGCACAAACTGCTCAGAACCATGGTGAGTTGGAAAATGCTCGTCTTTNTTTTTATTATAAAACTAAAAATAAAAACATTTATGTTTAATGCCTGGAGTCTTTCAGAACCTGACCGGAGTAATCTGTTGAGTAATCTGATGCCTATGATGAAGGTCAATGATATTTGATCATAAATAACACTCAAAGATCCAGAAGATAAAAGCATCATTAAGAGGTGGTACAATGTTTTACAAAGAAATTCTTTTTTATTTTTTCCAATTCCTTTTCTTTTTTTCTTTTTAAATCATCCAAGTTGTTTATTTCTTTCTGCCTTTTTTCAATTTCTTTCTTAATGTTGTTTTTGTCTTGAATTTCATGCAGTAGTTGTTGATGTTTGTCCTTTACATCAGCTTTCAGCTCCTTTTCTATCTGAATCTTCAGTTCATTTAAAAGTTTGTATTCATCTCGGGTTTCTTTCATTTCCCTTTCATGTTGTTGCTTCAAAGCTTCAACTTCTTTTTGTTTTTTCTCCCTGAACTCATTAAACTCTTCCGCTTGTTTTCTGGCCTCATCTTCATGTTTCCTTTTCATGTCCTCTAGATTTCTCTTGTATTTATCTTCCATTTCTTTTCTCTCCTTCTCTTCCCGTTCTCTTCTCTTCTGATCTTCTTTTTTTCTTTGGTTTTCAAATTCCTTTTTTTTCCTCTCAAATTCATCTTGAAGCTTTTTCAGTTTTAATTCTTCTTCTTTCCGTGTCTCTTCATCCTCTCTCTGTCGTTTTTCCCACCACTCTTTTCTTTCTTTTTCTCTGGCTTCTCGTTTTTCTTCTGTCTCGTTCTTCATCTGTTCCAGTTTTCTGTCGATGGTCTCTTTTTCTTCTGATTTTGATTGGATTTTTTTCTCCAAAGCTTCTCGTTCTTGCTCCCACTCTTTTTGTTGTTGTTGTTCATCTTCTTTTCTTTTTTTCTCTTCTTCCTCTCTTTTTTTCTGCTCTCTCTCTTTCTGCTCTCGCTCCCTTTTTATATTTTCTTCCATTTTTTTTAGTTGTTCATCTTTCAGTTTTCTCTCTTTTTCCATTTCTGCTCTCTGTTCTGCCATTCTCCTTCTCAATTCTTCTTTTTCTTTTTCATGTTTTCTTTCCAGCTCTTTTTTCTGTTTTTGCATCTCTTCTTCCTTTTCCTTCAGGATTCTCTTCATTTCTTTCTGTATGGCAGCTTCAGCTTTTTGCAGCATCTCATTTGTGTAGCAGCTGCCCCCATTTGTCTTTACCATGGTGTCGATCTTCTGGATCAGTTCGCTGACTTGTGTTTGGTTATTTTTATCACGATTATTAAACACGTGGTATTTACCTCCACAGTCAGAGATCAGCTTTTTAAATGAATCATTACAGCTTGTCTCAATGTACTTTTCAATAGTTTTTCTCTCCGCTTCCAGATCATCTCCTCTTGTGAAAAGAACAATAGTGAATGAYTGAGAATTTTTTCCAAAAACGTCCTTAAGTAATTTTAGTGTCTCCTTCTCTTCTGGTGTGAATCTGCCAATCTGGATTACCAGCAGGAAGACGTGTGGTCCTGGAGCCAGCAGACTGATACATTTTACCAACTCTTCATTAACTTCATCATGAGACAAAGTGCTGTCAAACAGACCAGGAGTGTCAACAACAACAACAGAACGWCCATTAACCTCAGTCTGGCCTTTTTGGCAGCTCTTAGTCACCGACTGCTGAGCTGATTCTGCTGTAAATAACTTTCTTCCAAGAATGGTGTTCCCTGACGAACTCTTTCCACAGCCAGTTTTCCCAATCAGAACAATCCGAAGACTCCCAGAGCTCTGAGACTGTTCACCATCTGTGAAATTAAAAGGAAACTGGGTCAATTTATTGTCATTTATGTCTTAACTATGAATAAAATTGCATGTTTCTAACACAAAAAAAAACCTTCATAAAGAAATGTGTCAAACTTACCTTGTCAGCTGAAACTACTCATTTCACATTTTCTCTAAAATATAAGTTCTGTTACTTTTTCCATAAGAACTCTATGATTAAACTCCTTGATTAAACACTGACTGTTGAACACCTGACAAATAATTAACTCCCTGGTTGAATACACATTTTTTTTAACAAATTAACTGTTATAACCCCTGTATTTTTGGTCGTTACCTCCACCAAGGAAGGAATGTTATTGGTAATGTTTGTGTACAAGATTAACCAAAACAATATAGACAGATTTTCATTAATTTTTAGGGCAGGCTAATTTCATCACAAAGACCAAATGTTTGAATTTTGGTGCAGATCTGACATCTGACAGAGCTGCTGCCACAAAAAAGAAACCTAAAACAGAAAACAGTCATAGGCTACATTTTACTGATGATGTCATACAGTGACTGCCAATCAGGTCCGTGTACATTCAGGCAGTTCATTTTTTCATTTGAAACAAAACGGATTAACCTAACCATAACCTAACC